TACAGCGCGCGCACGTTAACCATTCAGCCATCCAACCCTCCAATATCTGACAAAGAAAGTTCTTATTCTAAAACATTAGATGCCGTAAAGCCTTAGAGTAACGATGGGCCATTTGCGTTTTTCACATTTCTCACGGCCTAATCCACCGTAATATGTACCCAGATTAAGTAAGAAAACAAAATCAAATGAAATGAAATGAAATGGGGTTTAACGTCCTACTGTTCTGCTCCGAACTGGGCTAATGAAGACGGGCATACGCCGTACAGTGTGCTATGAGGGAAATTTTGCCCGGGCAGCGGAGCTACGGCCTACTCTTATATCGAAATCCAGCTGCCAAGGGATATTTTATGTGCACGCCAATGTGTACACGGAACCTCGGATTTTCGTCCCATCCGAATGACTAGACTGCTGTCCTTGTCAGGCCATCCGTCCTGCATCACGCCGGAAAATCTGGATGAACTTTCTCGGCCAATGCAGGGATCGAACACCCGACCTCCAGGCTAGCGAGCCAGCGTCTTACCCACTTAGCCATCGTGATCCCCCTAAACAAAATCAAAGTAGTAACATAATGTCCCAGCTTGGATTCAGTCAAGATTTAAAAATAAAAACACCCAATAAATATTCGCGGATATCAAAATAGTGGCAGACTTATTGCATATCGAAGCAGCATAGATGGGTGGAATTTTATTTCGACATATTTTTTGTAATATTGAACGGAATTGAAACATTTGTGGACTGACATTCCTACTAGAGGCTCATCGTTACAATATTGAAGTTTTCAAGTGATCCCTTTATCGATAAGATTACATTTATCAATATGTAGGTTAGGCTGAAGACACGTACTGTACTTTAATAATGAAAGTAGGCTACATGTGAATATTATGACTAGCACTTTAATAAGATGACATTAAATCGCGTGTCAGATGTATCTAAATAAACGGGTCTTACAATATACATATATTTAAATGAACCGGTCGTGACGCCAGATATATTTTGATGAACGAGTCGTAGCACATGTATTTAAAGGAGCCATAGTGTCAGATATATTTAAAGGAACCGGTCATAGAGTATATATATTTAAATGAATCAGTTGTAGCACATGCATTAATAAGAGCTAGCGTACCTCATATATTCAAAGGAACCGATCTTACCTCATATATTTAAAGGAACCGATTGTAACGCATGTATATTTAAAGCAAACGGTCAAGCCAGATTATTTAAAGGAACCGGTCGTACCAGATATATTTAAAGGAACCGGTCGTACCAGATATATTGAAAGGAACCGGTCGTACCAGATATATTGAAAGGAACCGGTCGTACCAGATATATTTAAAGGATCCGGTCGTACCAGATATATTTAAAGGAACCGGCTGGACCACATATAATATATAAAGGAACCAGTCGGACCACATATATTTGAAAGATCCAGAGTATCATATTAAAAATGGACCGGTCGTACATATATAAATAAACCGGTCGTATCAGTTCTATTTAAATGGGCTGATGTTACATACATAAATGCATAAGGGCGCTACTGCACCTTCGTTCAACTGGTAGTTCCCGTGGTCGTTGAGATTTGATATTTTGCACGGACTGTTAAGGCGACTAGGGCACGAGGTGAATAGGAAATGAAATGAAATGGGGTTTAACGTCCTACTGTTCTGCCCCTATCCTGGGCTAATGAAGACGGGCATACGCCATACAGTGTGCTATGAGGGAAATTTTGCCCGTGCAGCGGCACTATCGCCTACTCTTATATCGAATTCCAACTGCCAAGGGATCTTTTACGTGCATTCCAATGTATACACGGAACCTCGGTTTTTCGTCTCATTAGAAGGACTAGACAGCTGTCCTTGTCAGGGAGGCGAATAGGGCATTAGGTCAATGGGGCATTAGCCAAATAGATCATTAGCGCCAAACCATTTAAGAAACCTATTTAGACTAGGATGTCAATTGTACACCCCTCGCGCGTCTGATAAAGTTCGTCTAAAACTTAAAACGGGTAATACTCTGACGTATTTGTACAGGAGCATATTTCACAAAAAACATAAACAGGCATAATGCCAGAGCTAAATCGGCCTATTACAGGTCTTTCGTTATGCATTAAATGTTATTTAAATTAGCGTTTAAACATTTATTAACTGATGCTATCTGATGCGCGAAATTTGCAACGGATTTAGACACGATTAGCGGTTAATAATTTGATTAAAAAATGAATAATCGAGACTTTGTTTACTATAGTAACAAAGATAGCTATAACAATCGAGACCCCACTATTCTCTAAACAGCCCTAACGCCGATCAGAATTTATTATTGTTATTATTAAAGCATATTGATGGTGCGCCCTTTCAAATCACATGTTCATGGGCTATTTACAAAGTGACAATGTAGTCATAAAACTTTCAAAATATTCCCTTTAACGTCTACTCGAGAGAAACTAGGTCATGTTGGAAGAAACGCACGAGGTTGGACAGGTGACCCTATTACTTGTCACGTACAACCGGGGAATCGAAACCACGCCAGTGGCAGGCCTTATAATGCAGCTCGCACGTGCTAACCATTCGTTCATTCAACCCCAGGTCTAATAGTGATGTTACATCGTAGAATTTATAGCGATGATTATATAAACATGATTTATGTGATATTGTAAAATGGTAAAGTATCTGTTAACGGCTTGGTGAAAGGAGTACACTATAAATATGTTATAAATAATATAAAGTCGAAGAGGGGGTGTAGATGTCCTAGTGATCTAGAGTGTCTCGCTTCGAGCTCTAGGTAGCCGCTCATCTCTGACTTTCGGTCGTGGTTTTGATCCCTGGTGTGGACGTGTGTGTGGCTTAGAGATAGGGTGCCTTCTCAACCTGGTGGGTTTACTCCTGGACTCGATTCCCCCCACCCAATCCCCACAGGAAACTTCCCTGTCTGTGTGCAAAGATAATTAAAAAAAAATGAAAATAAGACTTGTGTGTGATATCAGCCCCCGGTGGAAGCGGACGTTAAACACTAAGAACAACAACAACGTAGAGTAAAAACGGAAATGATATACATGTATTGTAGACCTAGTAATTGCGTCAAGCCCGCGTGCAGCGCTTTTCTAAGCAAATGTCCATATAAATCGATTATAGTCAAATAAATTGTATGAAATGAGGTTTAACGTCCTACTCTGACTGGGCTAATGAAGACGGGATACGCCATACTGTGCGCTATGAGGGAAACTTTGCCCAGACAGGGATCTTTTACGTGTACGTCAATGCGAACACGGGACCTCGGTGTTTCGTTCCATCCGAAGGGGCCGTGGAATCTGTTAATACACCTACTACTACTATTGCTGCTGTTGCTATTGCTACTACTGGAGCCACGGAGGCTAAGTGAGTAAGACGCTGGTCCGCCAGCCCGGGGTTAGCGAGTTCGATCCCAGTGTTGACCGAGAAAGTCCATCGGGATTTTCCGGCGTGGTTTCCCCTTGTCAGTGGAGCAGGACAGAGGGCCTGACAAGAACAGCCGTCTAGTCGTTCGGATGGGACGAGCTTTTACGTTGTTCTTCTTCTTAACGTTTAACGTCCACTTCCGCCGAGTGTGATTATCTTACCGCAAGCGCAGAGGTCTTCCTTTTGGAGGAAACCGAAGTAAACCCATGACGTTGAGAAGGTGCTCCTACCACCAAGCCACATATACGGATCGAAAACAGAGGCGACCAATACAACCAATACGTTTCAAACCAATCTGATTAAAATACAGATCTGTATTCCGTCTCGTTTTTTTATACTTTCGATGGCCCTCTACTACATGAAGATCTGACCGGTTGTAGTGGAAAGTCGCGCCAGGGTTCATACGGGCAGCTTTTGATTCTAGGCGTCAGACATTGATTACGTTTACGTTTCTAATGGTTTACTCAAAGTTCCGTGCATAGAACGCCAAGAATTCGAGGTAATAGACCGTTTCACTGGTAATCCCTTACATCAATCAGAACACGGGTTATATTACAAATCTTGCGTATCTTAGTGTGGTAAAGACAAATAAAATAAAAATTTTAATTATAAAAATACGAAACAAAATAGGATCTGTGGTTTACTCAGATTGGTTAGATGCAAATATGAGAAATGTGTGACCGAGACAGTTTTCCCTGTAATGTGGTTTCTTCTTATAATGAGTTTAAAAATTGAAAAATAAAAAAAAAACATATCCCCCAAATAATGATCTGTAGATGAGTTCCTAAAATGAACTATAGGGCCTAGTATGAAGCCACCCAATCTGTTTCACAGAGGATTACGAACGTATTCTAATATCTCTGTAAAAGATGACTACCTTCAACACGCGACGTTTGTTCTTTAACTAAAATAGGGATCACGGTGGCTAAGTGGGTCGGGTGTTCGATCCCTGCATTGGCCGAGAAAATTCATCCAGATTTTCCGGCGTGGTTCCCCCTTGTCAGTGGTGCAAGAACAGCTGTCTAGTCATTCGGGTGAGACGAAAAACCGAGGTCCCGTGTACACATTGGCGTGCACGTAAAAGATCCCTTGACAGTTGGAATTCGATATAAGACGATTAAGAGTTGGCCGTAGTGCCGCTGCCCGGGCACAATTTCATTCATGAGTCATAATCATAGCACAGTATGGCGTATGCCCGTCTAATTCATTAGCCCAGGTTAGGAGCAGAACAGTATAGGACGTTAAACCCCATTTCATTTCATTTCATTTCTCTAAAATCAAAAGCAAAAAAAAGGATTTTACTGTTTTTTAAACTATGGGAGGTAACTCCATTTAGAATGTCGTTATGTATATACGTATGAAAAGTTACAGAGTTATCCATTAGGAACATATTTTAAAGTTCTAACATTAGAAATGTCGTTCTAATGCTGATAATACTGTAATTATTTGCAAACCTCAATTTATTTATATAAACAACCCTTTAAATTTCACGACTATCGAGCCTGGGAATGTGACCATACCTTTTGGACCTTCTTTCGAAAGAAGTCCAATTTTAAACCGGTTTCAGTTTTGTACTAAATCTTTAATGAAACTGAAACCGGTTCCATTAATAAATTGGACAATGGCGACTGTCTGAAGAAAATTCCCGCTTTTCGCAACAAACACTGGATATTATCATTTTGACAGTAGAGATAACTTGGTCCACACAATAGTCCAAAGGTTAATTTCTTAGATATCTGTTTCTTTACAATAAAATAATTCCCTTTTACACCCAACTGAAATAGATTAAAGAAGCTAAATCGCTAATATTTTGGACCTGGAGAGTGGAGATATTGACAAGAATTTGAAGAAATGAATTATCACAACGCATATTATAGATCTAATAATAATGTAATCTGAATGTATAATATGTAACAGGCAATGCCTGCAATGCCTGAGTAGAGCGAAGCTAATTATTGTCAAATATAAAACCTTCATAATTAATTTTCTCGAGTGATACAAACAATGTTAAATAATTTAGTTTTTCAAAATTGATTTTTATTTAGATCTAAATTTTATACATTAACTTTTTTTTTAAAAAAAAGAACAAAGTGTGAGAATTATTTTCATTGACGTAAAAAAATATGTGACGTCATTGATTAGACGCGTCATAGAAATAGTTCTATGAGGCGCGTTATCTCGCTTGGACGAGATTTGGTGTGTAGAATTATTTTTGTTAGTTACGTGATCTCGTTTGGTCGAGATTTGGTAAGTTGACATGCGCATTGCCTGTTTTCCCCAGTGTATCCGGTTCCTGTCTGAATTTTTTTTTAATCAACAGTCTGTGGGTGACATTTTCAATTACGCTCCTGTGTTACCGGAAAAGAGCTTTGCTCAAGCACCGCGCTTCGCTCTATATAAACTGTTCTTTCTTGTCCCTTGTTACAAATGACGCTGAAACGCATTATGGTACACGATTCGTGTACCAATGGTAAAATGTTTATTTTGTCTTAAATATTTATATTGGATATCAGAAATCTATCTTTTCCCGACAAGATCGCAACATTAATGTTGATTTAAATTGTCAAATAATTTGTGTTTTAACAGTGTGAAAGACTTTTGATGATATTGAGTTTTAGAGACTTAGCTATTTTAAGCTTTCCATTTTTAGTTTATGCCCATCAGATTACTTAGATCACAATAATAATGAATAAATACATTTTCTTAAAAGTTACATAGGTCAAGGTACATATCATCTTGTGAATATACATTTTTATACGCCCACGTGGAAATGTGGTTGTATATTGCAGTCGCCCCCGTCCGTCCATCTGTCGGTCCGTCCGTCTATCCATCGTCCACAATTTCTTGTGAACACTCTACAGACTACATTTATCATCTGATTGTTTTGAAATTGATATATGTTGTTTGCATTAGTGAGATGAAGAAGCCTATTTAATTTCAATAACTTCCGTTAATTTTTCTGGAGTTATGGCCCTTGTTTCACTTTGTTGCACCTTGTGAACGCTCTAACGACAAAAGTTATCAACCGATTTGTATGAAATTTATATGCACCATTTAAATTAGTAAAACAAAGAATTCTATTGAATTTCAGCAATTTCCGTTAATTACATCTAGTTTAAAAATAACATTGTCGGCGACATCAGGTTAAAGGAAGCGGGAGTTAAATACATACACTTATTCTACCACACACACACAACACTAAACTCATTGAGATAAATCTTAACAGTTTCGCTAGACCTACGACCTACTCTTATTTTGAATTCTGACAGTCAAGGGTTTGTTTATGTGTAGTTTACACTTGACATCAGTCTTTCATACCATTCTAATGACCAGGCACTGTGACATCCTATAGAATGAGGCTTCAGTTTCACAAAGCATTCTCAGACTTAAGTATTGAGAAATGTCTTTGATCCAGAAACACAAAAATTTGCACATAATTTCTTATTGATATATTAAAACAACCAAAAAATTTATATAGGACTATACAGTATGTATTTAGTTAAAATAAGGCGAACAATTTTCAGTAAATTTTTAACTTTTGTGTAACTGGGATCTGATTACATATTAACTAAGAACTGATATCCATCCTGATCGTCAGTAGGCCTATATGTATATTACTCAGTCAATCAATTTTTAGAAAATATAGGACCCAAAATTAAAATTTTTTAGAGCACAAAACTGTTTTTCTTTTTCCAGCATTTGATTAAATAGAATTAATAAGTTAGATCTACCAAGAAAAAAAAAAAAAAATGTCTACACCCACAGATAATTTACGAAGTTCTGCTCAGAAAGCAGCTGCTGCTCTCGCTGCCACTGCCTTGGCATCTACCATTAAAGAAGAAAATAATCCTGTCATTGATTGGAAGAAAACGGTCAGATCAGAATATATGAAATTACGTCAGCTGCGAAGATTTAAAAGATCAGAAGAAGTAAAGGTTTGTTTCATTCTAATTTCATTAGATGAAGGCAGCCACAATGTCTCAGTGGTATACGATGGTCCAATCGACTAGGGGGGATGGAATGCCAATGGCCAAATTGGTTTGATGCGTGCATGTTAGATCACAAGGACTGTCATCGAGTCCAGTGGCGTGGTTTCGATTACCCTGCTTGGACGTGACAAGGATTAGGGTTGCCTGTTGCTAAAGACCCCTCAACTCAAAAGATTTATTGAAATAAAATTGAAATGTCTGTTAGTCCCAAAATGACCTACTTTGTGTCAGGTGGACCTTAAGCCTCTCTCTCTCTCTCTCTCTCTCTCTCTCTCTGGTGTAGGAGGATGGCCAAATGCTAGGTGTGAGCATTAAATCATAAGGTCAAGGTCTGTCATTGAGTTAAGTGGCGTTGTTTCTATTCCCTGCAGCAGTTGAAATTTGATATACGTCCAAGAGTAGGCCACAGCGCCACTGTCCAAACAGAATTTGCCTCATTGCCCCTTCAAGGCAGAACAGTAGGACGTTAAACCCCATTTCATTAAAGCGGATGGCCGAATGGTCTAAAGTGTGTGCTTTTGGTCAAAAGCTTGTATGTGACAAGGAGTAGGGTAGCCTGTCTTTACCGTGTGGCTCTTCTCAGGGTCCTTTCCTTCGGGTTTCCTACCACTGCATAAAGAAAGATCCCTACGCACAAGCTAATTACTGAATCCCGGTTTGGCCCGGGCCTAGCTAAATTGTATTGCATTTAAGGTTGTTTTTTCTTTACACAATAAAATAACGATTTGTTTAACTTTTTGTTTATCGTATTTTAGACAGCATGGACAGCCAATAGAAAACATATTGATGAACAACTGGAGAAGCTCTCGTCTTTCTTAAACGATCAACCACAAAATCAATCTCTTAGAGTTCGAGAAACATTTAGTAGTATCCCTGTCACCAGAAAGGTTTGTATTCTGTACAAAGTTGTGCTGTTTAAGTAGGAGTTTCTGTAATTACTGTTTAGTTTCAAACCATATTTGACCCACGGTGGCCAGGTGGTTAAGACGCTGGCTCGCTAGCCTGGAGGTCGGGTGTTCGATCCCGGCATTGGCCAAGAAAGTTCATCCAGATTTTCCGACGTGGTTTCTCCTTGTAAGTGGTACAGAACGGAGGGCCTGACAAGGACAGCTGTCTAGAACTTCGAATGAGACGAAAAACCGAGGTCTCGTGATTGAATTCCCTGGCAGTTGGAATTCGATATAAGAGCAGGGGATAGTGCCGCTGCCCGGGCAAAATTTCCCTCATAGCACACTGTATGGCGTATGCCCGTCTTCATTAGCCCAGTATAGGAGCAGAACAGTAGGACGTTAAACCCCATTTCATTTCATTTCATTTCATTTCATATTTGACCAATCTGATTAAAATACAGATCTATATTTCGTTTCGTTACAAGTTTTTAAACAAAGATTTGATATTGAATGAATGTGAAAGAAATTAGTGCTAAATACACAAGATTAAATGATACCCTGGTTACAGTGTTAATGCCCTTGTATTATTTTCTAGTGTGAGGTTATAAACAAGATGAATATGCCGAATCAGACAGTACCGTTACGAGTGATGAATGCACTAAAGATGATACCAACTATGTACTGTTGGGCACCGCTACATCAAAATTTTATGGTAAGGTTTTGTTTCTCTACAATAGGAGCTGTAGTGGTCAATAGTATCTGTAGGAGGACTGCACCACACACAGACAATTACACAAGACAAACCTACGGACATGATACACATAACAGACACCACAAACAACAAACGCAATAGATCTGGGGTTAGCCATAATCGTCCACTGCGCTGTACGGTCCCGGGCGTGTAGTGATACAGACTTCATTAAAAATGAAGGAAAAGTTATTGTGTGACAGATCCCTTCGTAAATGTTTTGTTTGCGAAGAAGAATATGCACATCGTAAGGTTATTCACCATAAATATATATATGAAAATATAAGTTTTACTTGTAATTAGGGGAGCCACGTTCGGTCCAAGTGTTGGCAGAGAAAGTAACGGAGGATTTTCTACTGTGGTTTCAATCCTGGTGTTGCAGGACCTGGCAAGGAATAATATCTGGTAGTTTGGATGGGACCAAAACCGAGGTGTCCACGTTGGTGTGCATGTGAAAGAACCTTTGACAGTCCAAGCAAAATTCCCCCCATAGCACACTGTATGGTGTATGCTCGTCTTCATTAACCAGGTCGGGGCAGAACAGTAGGACGTTAAACCCCATTTCATTCACATGTATTTTATCACCTGTATTTTATCACCTGTATTTTATCACCTGTATCACAGTAGGACGTTAAACCCCATTTCATTCACCTGTATTTTATCACCTGTGATCTTTAAATCTGTTGTATCATCAGGTCGAAGATGAAACAGTTCTACACAACATACCATATATGGGAGACGATATTCTTGATAAAGACTGTTCTTTCATTGAAGAATTGTTAAAAAATTACGAAGGAAAAGTTCACGGAGAAAGACAATCCAATTTTATGAGTGATGATTTATTTGTGGAACTTGTGACCAATCTTCATGCTAATTATCCACATATTGACGACCAAGGCTATAAAATAGACGGTAGGTAACAACAACCAGTATGAGGATACCATGAACCGAGTATGACATAATCGCCACAATCGTGGAATTTTGTTATAATAAATAGAACATTAATGACATAAATTTGAATACCGAACGGGCATCAAATATGAAAAATAACGAGATGCACCTGTTTTTTTTATTAGTATGAATTTGAATATTTTGTTGACACATGATTTTTAATTGTGGTCTGAAACCGCCTTCTTGAATAACCATAAGAGTTATGCCTAACACTGAATTGAAGTCTATCACAATACATGTACTCAGGTTGTGCTGTTTTAGCAGGAGTTTTTGTATTTAATGTCTAGTGTCAAACCATTGTTGGCAAATTGTTCAAATCACCAAACAATATTGGGTTCCTACTGTCGCGTAGTTTAAAATGGACCGTCTAGATTAGATAATAAAGGCCCACTGCACTTACGGATGCAAAGAGGATGTAAAACGGGGAAAAAACGTGCCCTCCGTTTGAAAACGCCATGCATCGGTTGTGTACTCATTGCATACGTGTTTCATACGCTCTATCCATCGAGCATCCGTTCACTTTGATTTCATCCCCGCAAAAAGTTTTGAGCTGCACAAAACTTTTATAACGGATGAACTTTCTGCCGTGTACGATGTAAATGCGCGACATATACGAGCACCAAACGTTCCATGTCCGTTATCATCCGTTAAACGTCCACTGTATCCTCTCTGCATCCTCTGGGCATCCTCGCTACTGACATCTTCTCCAGCTGAAAACGGAAAGAGGGAGGAAAGATAAGGTACATGGAATGTCTATACATCCGCTTTCATCTGCTAGACTTCCGATGAACATCCATTTAACATCCCTGCTACATACTTCCCACGTTCGTTTTTTTCCGTTCAGTTTTCGCAAATTTTCGTCAATTTTGTCCATTTCTGAAGCGGATGAAAACAGATGGAGTCATCCCCAAAAGTTTGCTCGTCCACTGTGTCCTTTTTGCATACGTTTTGTGTCCATCGGCAACTGGGACCGGGCCTTAAGTGTTGGGTTTACAACTGTTTACTTTCTCTACCAGTGTTGAGTAATTAGCAAACTAATTACACTGTAACCCAGGTATTGTTTAATTTTGTGTATTTAGCACTAATTTCTTTCACATTCATTCAATATCAAATATTTGTTTGAAAATTTGTAAAAATCGTTTAAAATCACCAAAAATTATCTAATTTGTACTTGTGTCCAGTTTAGAGCTGACTGTCTAATTTTGATAATGATTGTCCAATTTACAAGTATTAAATTTCTGGATCACTGTTAAAAAAATTAATCATTATACATCAATAATCAATTGGGTTGTTTATTTTTTAACAGTGATTGAGAAATCAAACACTTGTAAATTGGATACTCATCAAAATTGCATGGTCAGCTTTAAACTGGACACAAGTACAAATTAGATGATTTTAAACGATTTTTACAAACATTTTAATTAAAGATTCGATATTTAATGAATGGGAAAGAAATTAGTGCTAAATACACAAAGTTAAACAATACCTGGGTTAAGTGTTAATTACTCAACTCCACTCATTTGATGAGTAATTGTCCAAGGCATGTCGAACGTACTACATACACAAGATTACAGTGATATTTGATATGTTTTTGTGGGTTTTTTAGATGATGATAAATTGATACCTCTGCCAAAAGATAATTGTGTACAAGACGTTATATTTGAATCTATTTCCGAATTATGTCCAGAAAAAGGAAGCCCGGAAGAATTGAAAGAAAAGTAAGCTATTGTAGTACTCTTTTTCCCTTGTGCATGATTTATGATATGTGACCCGCTCCAACGAAACCAGGCGTTTGTCGTACAACTTCATTTTGTACTATGGGCACAAAAGCATAAACTGTATGCCTTCTTGTTGCTGTGAATGATTCGAACTCCAGATGATACAACAAATTTAAAAAGAGTTGCTTTGTTGGAAAGCTTAGGCTGTGGACTATTCAAATATGCTGCCAGCTCTATTTTTATAAGAATGATCAAGAGATTGGTTTTGTGGGAGCAGCGCACATATTTTCTTATTGTAAGGGGGAGCCATGGTGCCTAGGTGGGTAAGATTTTGGCTCGCTAGCCTGAAGGTCGCGTGTTGCATCCCGCTTTTGGCCGGCATGCGTTGTTCCTCGTGTCAATGGTGCAGGAAAGAGAGTCTGACAAGGGGCAATAAAGCCATTTGGATGGGATGGAAAACCAAGTTCCTGTGTACACATTGGCGTGCGTGTAAGAAAAAACTTGACAGTTGGAATTCAATATAAGGGTAGCCATAGCGCAGCTATACGGCCAGAATTACACTCATAGCTCACATGTATGTCCATCTTTATTAGTCCAGTGCAGAACAGTAAGACATCAAACCCCATTTCATTTCGGTTCATTGTATTTTGTTTCGTCTTTCAATTTATCATACCTTGGTAAAGATTGTATCTTTTTGCACAGTGATAGAATTCACTGTCTATTAGGTTGAAATTATGCTACATTTCTCAGAAAGGAATTTTAACCAGGAGAGTAATTGGGTAGAAGTTTTAGTCAAGAAACAGACTCCAATTTGTGAAAGAATACCCATTATAAGGGTGGTCATGAATGAACAGTCCACAAAAAACATTGTTTCAAACAATTTGAACCACAACATTAAACCAATATGAATAAAAATATTTTTTGCTTTTGTTTTCAGATATCGAGAACTAAATGAAATTAGCGATCCAAATATTCTACCTCCAGAATGTACGCCTAATATAGATGGACCAAACGCCAAGTCAGTACCCCGAGAACAGACCTTACACTCGTTTCATACTCTCTTCTGTAGAAGATGTTTTAAATACGACTGTTTCCTTCATCGTAAGTAGGCATGTGCATGATTTCACATGGTCTGTCATTATTTTGAATTTGAGGAATTCTTGTCTCTGATAGTGATACAAGTGCTATGTGTCACTACAACTCAGCTATCATGTACATTAGTTGTGCTGTTTTAGTGGCGAGAGAGAGAAAACACAAATTATCTCATTTCAGAACTAACACACAGTTGGATCAATTATATTTCAATAATTCATTTACACCTAGACTGGGAAGAACCCATAGGACCAGAGAAAATCCACGAGGTTGGACAGGCGACCCTACTCCTTGTCACCTACAAGTGGAGAATGGAAACCACTAGACACACCAAATCCCCTGTTTTAGTGGGGAGTTTCTGTATTTAGAGATGCGTTATTTAACAGCTAAATCTGCTTGATGCAGCATATAGTATTACTTGTAGTGGAAACTTACGGCTGGACCCTGGATCCATTCACTGTATCTGATATTTGTTGTTTATTTCTTGCAATGTCTGTAGTTTATCATGTCTAAAGGTTTGTCTTGTCCATTTTGCGTTGCGTGCAGTGCGGTCCTCCTGCACTTACTATTACAGGCATGTAGAGGAGAGTTTCGAAACATTTCCAAAATGTGGACCTCCATAATTTATGTTGTAGAGGCTATTACACAGTTCCTAGATAATTTTTAAAGATTTGTTAAATGTAGGCAAAGAGGGTGGAGACACTTTTGATCTAAGTCTTATTGTTGAGCCATCCATCGCAAAAGTTCTTTGTCACTATTGGGATCCCTACTCGCCACATATAGAGTTCAAATTTTAATATTCTGGAGCTTTATTTTTCAGCGTATCATCCAACACCAAGCATGCTAACGAGAAAAATGTCTGATAAAAAACAGGAGAATGAGCCGTGTGGTGTGGAATGTTTTCTACATATGGTTGATGTTCAGGTGAAATACATTCTTTCTAGGATCTAGTATATATACTGCCAGCGAGGACAACTGCCGGCAGAATAATTGCCATTGACAACAGCTGCCAAGTATCATTTAATCTTGTACATTTAGTTTTAATTTCATTCAATGTCAAAACGTTAGTTGAAAATTCGTAAAAATCTTTTAAAATCACCAAAAATCATTGAATTTGTACTTGTGTCGTTTATAGCTGATCATTCAATTTTGATAATGAACGTCCAATTTACAAGTGTTTAAAATCAGTTCCGCCTACACAATTAGCTGGTACAAATTGTAACACCCAAGTCGGTTAGCCCTTCAGCGTTCACCAGGGGTGTCGAACTTATTTCAATTCAGGGGTCACATGATCTAAAATTTTACATCAAGTGGGTCGGAGATAAAGTCAAACGTCCTTGAACTTTACTGAATTCTAAAAACAAAGCCAAACGTTTTTGACAGGTTTCCAAATTGCCAGGATATAATATTGAACACAACATTTTCTTGTATTACATACAACTTAGATATCTATGACATACAGTACAGACGTCAGAGTTTTACTGAAACTAGAAAACAATAATAAATGATTTCCACCACTAGTTTCTAAGAATTATTGACACATCAGTTAGTTGAAATTTGTTCCACGGGCTACATTTACACCCTTGGTGGGCCAGATCTGGCCTGAGGGCTGCCTGTTTCACACCCCTGGCCTACACAATCTCGTAGTACTAAAACAAACATGTAAGAAATTAAGGAAATTTATCGAGGAATGCCGATAAAATACAAAATATGACACAATGTTAAACAATTCCTGACATGGATATTTCAGCAGCAGCAAAAGAATCAAAAAGAGGCTATGGAGGAGAAGAACAAAGTGGACGACGCCGAAGATAGTAACGAATCTACGAAAGCATCATCTGGTGGGAGGTATGGTAGAAAACGTAAAACAAATGGTTGTGTTAGTAGTGGTGAAGATAGCGAAAAAAGTAACGATGCTGTTGGTATGTTCTCCATGTCATTTTTTTTATTCTCTTTGGGGGAGGGGGAGGGGAAGGCCTGGCTCTGTGCTTAAGGCACTGGCTCACTAACCAAAAAATGAAATGAGAGGGAGATTGGGGTTTAACGTCCACTCGACACAAACTAGGTCATTTCGGGACTAACATATGGTTCAATTTTATTTCTTAAGCTGTGGGAGGAAACCCACGAGGTTGGACAGGTGACCTTACCTTTTGTCATGTGCAAGCAGGCAATCAAAACTACTCCTCTTGACTTTCTCGTCTTCTCCCACTAAAATAGCACAACTACATGATACCCGAGTTGTAGTGACACATAGCGCTATCAGAGACAGAAATTCCTTAAATTCAAAACAATTATTATACACAAATTCCACCAATCAAGCAAGATGTCTGAAGAGAGTTGTCACACAATTTTTTATATTGAATTCCAACTGCAAAGGGGTCTTTTAAGTGCACTCCAGCATGTACGTAGGACCTCATTTTTTCACCCTTCCGAATTACTAGACAACTGTCCTTGCCAGGCCCTCCACCCTGCACCACTGACAAGATGAAACCATGTTGGAAAATGTTGATGAACTTTCTAGACCAAAACCTCCCAGGCCTAAACACCAGGGTTAAATAAACAGATCACAATTCTATGGAATACAATTACAAAGTACAGGGAATAACATTTTAGTGTTGAAAAAATTCTGTCTGCACCTGATCAAAATATCTTGTAAATAGTGTAGCAAGTAACTCAAGGAGTACTGGTAGTCAGTGCAGAAAACCACCATTAATTATTGTTTATTTAAGCTTGCATGTCAGTATGGCAAGCCTGTAAAAATTGTGTGACAACTCTCTTCAGACATCTTGCTTCTTCTTCTGCAGTGTCACAAGAATTGCAATAATTAGAGAAGCACTGTTAACCAACAGTATGAATCTGCTACTTGGTCCAACTCTGGTTAAAGTTCACTGATATTTTAATGTTATAAATTAATTTATAACAAACAACAAAAAACTATATCTAATCAATCATACTGTGATAGTTTGTTCATATTATGATTTAAAAAATTAAATGATTTCTTATAAAATAAACAATCAGCAGTTCTTTAATCATGAAGTCACTGACCAATGAACTGTCGGATTATCCCAAGAATAATGAAAGCATAAGTACTTTTGCTTAAAGATTTAATTTTAAGATATTTTGCTTAAAGACTTAATTGTAGGAGATATTTGATTTCAATTTTATTTTTAAGTTGTTAAAGAAAAAAAAAAAAAAAAATTTAAAATGTTTGATATAGTGACTCCAAAACCTGCAATTTGCCAATGTACAGAGTTGTCTCCCTTATTTGAAAATCTGATAAACCATTATTTAACTTTACAGGAAGCATACTTGTTTTAGATGCCTATTGTAGCTGATTGTGTATGTCTCCCTTGTCTGTTGAAAATCTTTCTCTTAATTTTTTAACTTTATAAGAAGTATATTTTTTAAAATGTCTATTTTGATGTTGAAATAATATTTCGGGTGTCAGTGCTGGATTAAGGCTCTGCTGGCCCTAAGGCACATTTTGATAGGTGGCCTGAAAATACAGATATGTTGGGCTCATTGACAAAAGGAATTAAGTTAAATTTAGCAACAGAAAATTTATTACAAACAAATTCAGAACATTGACAGTACTGTATTTACTATAAGTAGCCTACATATTCCCATTCACTGCCTAGCTAGATTACGACAAACGCGTAGATGAAGAAGGATGCAATTTATTTACATCAAAAATAAAGGCAAGCATTTTTGTCTCCACCTGATAATTATCAAAAAAGTTTTACTTTATTATTTTGTGACCTGGATCTTTGGCTGGCCCTAAGGCACGTGCCTTATTTGCCTTATGGTTAATCCAACACTGTCGGGTGAGGAAGCAGCCATTTGATCCTGTATGCCTCCCTTGTCCATTTACAATCTTTCTCTTGATATTTTAACTTTGCAAAAAGTATATATATTTTTTTTAAAATGTCTATTGTAGATGTTGAAATAAAATTTCCTGTGAGGAAGCAGCCAGCTGATCCTGTATGGAACGGTGCCGAGGAGTCGCTGTTCCGAGTTTTACACGATATGTATCGTAATAATTATTGTGCTATTTCTAAAATAATCGGCACAAAGGAATGCAAGCAGGTGAGTTTGCTCGATGCTATTAATTCTCTATTTATAATCCCAAATTTCGTGTGGTAGAATAATGTTGTCACCAATGTCCGTTTATTTGACTTGTAGAGGTACTGTATCAAAATTCTGTCACGATTTAGATTTGTTTGCAGATTTGTTTGTTTCTAGGTTTTTTACTATTTATGAATTTGTTATTATTTCAAAATTCATAATTTTTCTGTTTTTTGAACGTTTATGAATTGGCTATTATTTGAAGGTTTATGAATTTGTTATTATTAGAAGGTTTATGAATTGCTATTATTTGAACATTTAAGAATCTGCAATTATTTGAAGGTTATTATTTATGAATTTGCTGTTTTTATTTGAAGTTTTATGAATTTTCTGTTTTTTGAAAGTTTGTGAATTTTGCTATTATTTGAAGGTTTATCAATTTGCTATTATTTGAAGGGTTATTGATTTGCTGTTATTTGAAAACTAATGAATTTGCTGTTATTTGAAGGTCTATACTATGAATTTGCTGTTATTTGAACGTTCACAAATTTGCTATTATTTGAATGTTTATGAATTTGCTATAATTTGAAGGTTTATGAATTTGCTATAATTTGAAGGTTTATGAATTTGCCTTTATTTAAACATTTATGAATTTGCTATTATTTGAATGTTTATGGTTTATCAATTTATTTTTTGAAGGTGTATGAATTTGCTATAAAGGAAGAAGCTCACATGCCAGATTTTAATGAAGAAAGAATACAAACTCCACCACGAAAGAAGAAGAAGAAACAAAAGTAAGAACAGATCAGGAGACATGCTCACTAGATTTATTCACATTATACTAGATTAAGTTATGCCTGTAGGTGTTTTAAAACATGTTATATATGAATAAACCTTGAAGTCAGTATATATCCATACAAGGCAAGCAACTCCAAAAAATAAGGTCGGTCATTGAGTCAAGTGGTGTTGTTTAGATTCCCCGCTTTTACATGACAAGAAGTAGGGTCGCCTGTCCAACCTAGTGGGTTTTCACCGGGTTCCCCGGTTTCCTCCTACTGCTAAAGATCCCAACGAGCAAGCGAATTATTAAAATAAAACTGAACCATATGTTAGTCCCGAAATGAGCTAGTTTGTGTTGAGTCAAGTGACATTTCGATTTCCCTCTTTTACATGACAAGAAGGGTCACCTGTCCAACCTCATGGTTTTTCTCCAGGTTCTCCAGCTTCCTCCTACGACTAAAGATCCCTATGCGCAAGGGAATTATTGAAATAAAACTAAACTATGTTAGTCCCAAAATGACCTAGTTTGTGTTGAGTAAACATTAAACATTTCAAATTGACTAAAATCAACTTAAAATTACAATGGTATAGACTTTTATACGCTCAGATGGAAATGTGGATGTATGTTACATTACCTGGCTAATCAGTCAACCGAGAAGTATTCAACACTTTTTTTTTTAATCCATTTTAGATTATGGTCAATGCACTGTCGTAAAATCCAGTTGAAGAAAGATGGCTCCCCGAATCCTGTGTATAATTACACACCATGTGACCACCCCGGACAGAGATGTGACGAATCATGTCCATGTATCATGGCACAAAACTTCTGTGAAAAATTCTGTCAGTGTAGCAGTGACTGTAAGTTTATCTCGTTTACAGGAGCCAAGGTGGCTCAGTGAGTAGGAAATTGGTTCGCTGACCTGGATGTACCATGTTCCATCCAATCCCTTAACCGAGAAAGTTTAGCAAGATATTCCAGCATGTTTCCCCTTTGTCAGTTGTGCAGGACGAAGGGCCTGACAAGGAACAACAGATGCGATGAAAAACTGAGGTCCTGTGCATGTAAAATATCCCTTGGCAGCTTGACTTTTGATAAAAGAGTAGACCAGAGCGAGGGTGTCCGGGCAAAATTTCCCTCATAGCACACTGTATGGCATATGCCTGTCTTCATTAGCCCAGTCAGAGCACAACAGTAGGATGTTAAACCCCATTTCATTTCATGTATTGCAGGTCAGGATCGATTTTTAGGTTGTTGTGCAGCTGTCCGGACAAAATTTCCATCATAGGACACTGTATGGCATATGCCCATGTTCATTAACCCAGTCGGAGTAGAACAGTAGGACATTTAAACCCCATTTTATTTCATATATTGCAGGTCAGAATCGATTTCCAGGTTGTCGATGTAAAGCACAATGTAATACCAAACAGTGTCCATGTTTTCTAGCTGTTAGAGAATGTGATCCAGACCTTTGTCAAACATGTGGAGCAGGTAAGAAGAAATTAATATAGTTCTATTTAAATTTCTAGTTGTTCCGATGGGACACCCCCAAAAAAAACAAGATGACATAATTTTAGTGAGCAGTTAATTAGGCCAGGAAAATGTTTTTGTAATTTTCGTGTGAATTCAATTTGGTAAAAAATAAGATAACATCTGATTAAATGCAGGTGAAGATTAGCAGCTTCAACAATTGAGTGCCCCGCAGCTTTCTGGTCAGAATAATGACCTGTGTAGGCCTTCCCCTTAACGTTTTTGTCAGATGGCGAGAGGGCGGGGGTGGGGGGGTGTTATGGCTGAATGGTTAGCGTGTGCGCAATGTATCATAAGCTCTGTCACTGAGTCAACTGGCGTGGTTTCGTATCGCTGGTTGTACATGACAAACCTCTACAGACCCCTATGAATTATTGAAATAAAAATGAATCATATGTTAGTCCCAAAATGACCTAGTTTGTGTCGAGTGGAAGTTAAACCCCATCTCTTTTTTGTCAAATGTATGTCCTTTCAAATTCTTCAGATCAATTTGATACCCCCAAAATATCATGTAAAAACGTCAGTGTACAGAGAAGTCAGGGAAAGGTAAGTACAGCAAGAAGTGATGGAAAAACAGCTACTTATTTATTTGGGCGAGGTATCGAATAGTATTTTCTAAACGTAATATAAATATGGGAGGCAGATAATTACAGAAAAATAACAACAAATCATGAAACCATACATGACAGCAACAAGATCAACAGTGATAATCTGATTAGAACACAGATCCTATTTCGTTTCGTTTTTTAAAGATCAAAATTTCGTTTTACTTGTCTTTACTACACTAGGATCTGGAAGAGTTGTTATATAACTTATAACCCAGGTTCTGGATAATGTGAGGGATTAGCCAATGAAACGGTCTGTTACGGCTAGTTTTTGGCATGTGGTGCACAGAACTGTGGGTAACAGAAACATCAACGCTGATTGGTTAATCAAATGTCTGATGTCATGGGGTCAAAAGCCGCATGTATGACCTCTGACACGACCTTCCACTACAGCCGGTCAGATCTTCTTGTAGTGTTGGCCATTGAAAGGAAAAAGAATAAAAAAATATAGATCTGTACTGTAATCAGATTGAACAGTGATAATCGATTCCCCGCTTGAGAATTAAAAACAGATATTTTTAGATCCTTGTTACAGACATGCCAGATTGAACAATTTCCACTATCTTGCATTGTCAGATCTAGAAAAAAAAATCATGAAACAAGTTTATTGGTGAGATCTTGTATAAAACCAATTGTCCATTCTTCTACTATGTCTAATAATATATGGGTTATATTTAATTGATTAGGTTTTAATTAATAATATATATGTTTAAATTTTGTAGCATTTATTACTGGCTCCATCGGATGTTGCTGGTTGGGGAATATTTTTAAAAGAACCTGCAGAGAAAAATGAGTTTATATCGGAATATTGTGGAGAGGTAATGAATTTTATGATATATAAATAATTTGTAACCATGGTATTTAGAAATTAAACTAGAAATACACAGGACACAATTCTATGTAATAAAAGGAGGAGGGGGGGTGGCATTGAGTTAAGTGGCATGGTTTTGATTCCCCGCTTGTGTGTGACAAGGACTAGAGGCGCCTGTCCAACCTTGTAGGTTTTCTCTGGTTTTCTCCCACAGCTGAAAAAAAAAGTGAACCAAGTGTTAATCCCTAAATGACCAGTGGACATTAAACCTCTCTCTGTTTATTACTGAGCAATATTTGCTTGCTAAAGATTAGAAAATCCTAGTTGATTGTGTTCCAGTAATTGTGTTCCATAGAATTGTGTCCTGTGTATTCCATAAAATTGTGTCCTGTGTATTCCATAGAATTGTGTCTCCTGTATATTCCATACAATTGTACCCTGTGTATTCCATAAAATTGCGTATAAAAACTAAATGTATGTATGTTTTAAACATGAAAAACATGATCAAAACAGTGTCCCCCTTGTCAATGGTGCAGAAAAGATGGCCTGACAACGTATAGTTGTTCGAATGGGACAACAAAAAAACAAGGTTCTGTGTATACATTGGTGTGCACATTAAAGAAACCTTGGCAGTTGCAATTTAAGAGTAGGCCGTAGTGCCGCTGTCAGGGCAAAATTTCCCTCAATGCACACCGTTTGGCATATGCCGATCTTCATTAGCCCAGTCGAAGCAGAAAAGTAGGATGTTAAACCCAATTTCATTTCATTTCTTTGTTAGTTTTAAGCATTTTCTGTATTTCTAATGTTGTAGATAATTTCTCAAGATGAAGCGGATAGAAGAGGGAAAGTTTATGATAAATATATGTGTAGTTTCTTATTCAACTTAAATAATGGTACGTATTCTAGCATTTTGTACACAACAGATAACTATTAACTTGGGGAATAGATCTCTGCTGTGAATGGCCGCCATCAAAAATGAGTGTACTATTTTGTTATGTGGTTCTAACCAGTTTCACATCTTTCATGCGTGCAAAGACCAAATAAACATTTTCAATACTCAAAGTAATTTAAACACGGTTCAAAATTCATAAAGTATATCTAGTGTTTTCGACTAAAATCGTTAAATAATGTCGGTTAGTTATCTTTGTGTCTGTTTCACAAGCATTCTCAGCCTTAAATAAAGAATTTACTCAACTTCCAATCACTGTTTACGAGAGGGGGGTTGGATGGCCGAATGGTTAGCACGTGCGTGCTGTATCATAAAGCCTGTCATTGAGTCAACTGGTGTGGTTTCGAATCTGCGGTTGTACGTGACAAGGAGTAGGGTCGCTTGTCCAACCTCGATGGTTTTCTCCGGGTCCTCCGGTTTCCCCCCAATGCTAAAGACCCCTATGTGCAAGCGAATTATTGTAATAAAATTAAAACATATGTTAGTCCAGAAATGACCTGGTTTGTGTCGAGTGGACGTTTAACCTCATTTCTCTCTCTCTCTCTCTCTCTGTTTATGAGAAATATTTTTGATCCAGAAACACAAAACTTTGTACATACATGTAGTTTTTATCAGGGCGTTAGAATTATGAGAATAATTTTGAGTAAATTCTTAACTTAAGTCTGAGAAAGTTTTGTGAACTTGGGGCCTCATCTTATCTCAGGATTAACTCTGTTTACTCAGTAGGGGGATGGGCAAATGGTCTAAGGCCTGCCTGTCCAACCATGTGGGTTTCCTCCCACAGCTAAAGACCCCTACCATGCAAGCGAATTATTGATAAAAATTAAACAATATGTTAGTCCCAAAATGACCGAGTGGAGGTTAACTCTCTCGCTCTCTCTTTCCCCTCTCTCTCCTGTGTGGAGTGGAGGTTAACTCTCTCTCTCTCCCTCCTCTCTCTCTCTCTCATCTCTCTCTCTCTAAATGTGTAATAATAATAAATTTTTGTTTTTATCAGATTTTGTAGTTGATGCTACTAGAAAAGGAAATAAAATCCGTTTTGCCAACCATTCTATAAATCCTAATTGTTATGCCAAGGTGATGATGGTAAATGGTGATCATAGAATTGGTATATTTGCTAAACGATCGATACAGTCAGGAGAGGAATTATTCTTTGATTACAGGTATTTCTTCTTAATTATTTCTGTCTAGTCGTTAGGGTGGGACAAAAAGAAATTAAATGGGTTTTAACACCCTATTTTTCTTGGCTAATGAAAACAGTCATGCTAAGAGTGACATTTTGCCCAGACAGTGGCACTCAGTCGATTCTTTTATTGAATTCAAATGGAATACCCAGGTATCATTTAAGTAATGTATCACAATTCGCCTTCTCATGATTCGCATATTGAATCACAAGCCTCTGAATGTTTTTTTTTTATGATTCTTTTTTTTTTGTTGCCTCAGTAATTAACCTGTCACGCTTCATTAAACACCGTCTTTATTTTCATCCCATATGAATATCGTGCTATAAGACTTTTTTTATTTCTTTGACTTTGGCAGGACTAAAAATTCTCGCCATAAAAAATATATATTATTCATTTATCCTGTCATTTTCTTCGTAAATGTTGACCTGGTTATAAATCGCGATACAAATCATATTGTAACATGGACGGGAAATCTTCCTTTGTTCTTTTCGAGGAATAAGCAGATTGCTTTCCCTCTAGTAGACTAGCTGGAGCTTAACCTTGCAATAACTAGACATGTTCAATGTTATTGCACTCTTTTGCTGGTTTACACTAGTTTTAGTAGAAATCATATAGAGAATTGGGGTTGGTTTTCTGTGCAATAACAACAAGAATGTTGAGCAGGTGTCAATGTTACAAGTCATTTATAGCACGCTTCATTCATTAACAGGTTTAACACCTCAGCCTACGGCCTCTGGTTAAACCTGTTAACTCATGAAAGTCGTGCTATAAATATTACTTGTAGTACCTGAATAGCATTACGTATCGTATCTTGACTGCAGTTGCATTACCCAGCACTACTGGTTACATACAGAATTTATAATTTTTAGGTAATAAAAGGATGAAATGGTTAATATGTAATATATATTATTTTTATAAAATCTATTTTCAGATATGGACCGACAGAACAGCTGCGGTTTGTGGGAATAGAAAGAGATGCAGATATCCCATAGTAGAAACTATGACTTGTTGTCAATCATCCAACTCATCACATTATCATCTTCATCCGTCTTCGATCAGACAAAATGTCTAAACTGTTAACCATGGCTATCAATTCAAATATTTACATTATTCCTGTTTATACCATTGTCAACCTCAGTACTATTCCCATCGTCCATTATTTATTCACAATCCTAAACACAGATCAGAGATTTATAAAATCTGTGTTGTTGGAAATATCACTACAACTTGCATGGGGATCATGTAATTGTGCTGTTTTAGTGAGAGTTTCTATAGGAAAGTAGGAACACAATACTTTTTGAGGATTTTCAATGAATTTGAACAATTAGCCAACAATGGTTTGAAACTAAACATTAAATACAGAAACTCCTACTAAAACAACATAACTAAACGATACTCAAGTTGTAGGGTATCTTTATATGACAGTTTCATGTTATGAATTATTTTCATCATTTTAAATAGTTGTATCTCAAACCCTGCCTTGTTATAATAATGTAAGTGAACTAAAAATAAAATGAACAAATTTTTCTAATTTGTATGTTGTTTTCTTTTATTCGGATTGGAATTATTTAGCTGATTTTCAGATGGTTTTCTTTTAACCAGGTAGGACAAACTTTCAGTTTGTACATTTGCAGTGTTTTTGAAGAAGCAAGCAGGGACTTGAAGCACTCCAAAATGTTTTATATCTTATTTATTCACATGACAAGCCCATAATCAACTAGCTAGACCACCAGATGGCTTGGATATTAAGTGGGTTAGACCATCTGCACCATTTCATCAGTTTAAACTAGAAAATCTTCTTTTTAGATAGACGCTTTGCTTATTATTGTAGCCATGGCAATCAATACTAAGCTATTCTTGTCAAAACCTCAAAGATTGATAACTTCATTCAGATTAAAGTAATTTGATTGACATTTTTAACATATTCAATTTTCATTATCTATTTTTGGACTATTACAGCGAGTACTGTCCGCTCTTACATCAACCTTTACATTTTTAAGCCTTTTCCTTTAATAAATGTAATGTATGATGAAGGGGATATATAATCCAGGTTGGAAATGAATGAGCCAGAGACCAGAATTTCTGACTAACACATATGTCCTTAAAATGAACCATTTAAAGAAGAAATCTTTCACAATCTTGTATTTTCATATTAATGGCAGAGTATGCAAATGAAGACACACATTCATAAAGATGATTTCATGCTGCATTCATTGTAATTAGTCAAATTTATCGTTAAATATTTTGAGTTATTATCGTACACCATCAGATCAGCCACAGAGTCACCCATCGATCCATCTGTCTACGTACGTTGCACGAGTGGTTTTTATTATAAATTTTGTGAAAGTTCAACTTGCTCTGCCTCTGCAGGAAGTAAAACTTCAGCAGCATGCTCCATTCTCCATGATGTCATTCTCTCTGTACCAAATTCATTATGTAGTTTTTCAGATTTGGCTTTAGACTTGTTAATTTCTTTATTCATTCTGAAAATTAGGATAAACCAATCAAAACTTATGAAACAAATTGTGGCTCAGTGATTCAAACACTGGTTTTCTGACTTGGAGTTCTCAAGTCAATCTTGGATTTTCCTCGTCAGTGTCTAATCCAGTGGTTCTCAACCTTTTTTTGGCAACGGCACACCTTGGAACATATGACAAAATAGCGGTACACCTCACTAAATATATATGAAAAATATCTGAATTTTGCAAAATAAAAACATACAACCGTAGACACAGACTAGTCAAAGACACATAGAATGACTTAAACTAAATAAGGGAAAACACAGCTATGAACGTACCAGTAGACACCTGTGAATACTCCGTTGGGATCAAGTGGCTTATCGCATTTTCTTAATGTGCTGTTCAAAATTTTGCGGCACACTGGTTGAGAATCACTGGTCTAGTCGTTTAGATGGGGCAAAAACCTAGACCCTGTATGCACATTGGCCTGCACAAAGGAGTACCCTTGACAGTTGGAATATGAAATTATAGTAGGCCCTAGCGCCCCTGTTCAGGCAATATTTCCCTCTTGGCACACTGCTTGGCGTATGCCCATCTTTATTAGCTTTGCTGCTGTTGACAATGACTAATAGTGCAGGAAATTAGGCTGTTGTTAAACCCCATTTCATTACTTTCTGTGTTAGTAGAGCAAAAGAGAAGCATTACAATTAATGGCAGAACCTGAATTATTCAAATATTGCTCATTTTAGGTAATTTAACGCAGTGTATTCACTCACCTTCTACTCTCTTCGATGGCTCGACTGAAAAAATTCTCAGTTCTCTCATTATCAATCTCGTTTGTTTCATCAAATCTTCCTTCATCCTAGTTCAAATAAACTTAAAATAATTTTATCTTGTCAAGCTAAGATTACAGGGAGAGAAATGGGGTTTAACATACACTTGACACAAAATAGGTCATTTAGGGACTAACATATGGTTCAATTTTATGTAAATAATTCACTTCCGCATTGGGTCTTTAGCAGTGGGCTGACACTGGAGGACCCGGAGAAAACCACGAGGTTGGACAGGCGACCCTACTCCTTGTCACGTACAACCGGGGATTCGAAACCACACCAGTTGACTCAATGACAGACCTAACCATTTGGCCATTCAACCCCCTCTTATCCGACGAACTTCAAACATTAATAAACTGGTATTTGTCCTAAGCTACTGCCATAGTAAAAGTTCCAAACATTTAAATGCCCTGATAAAGAGCTGGCAGTTCTCACTATAAATAATAGTTAAAAACTAGATAATGTAAAGGGGAGATGCTGAAAATTCCAGTCATATTACTTGACTCTAAGCCAAGAAAACCTTATTTTAAAAATCACTGAAGCCTTGATTATCATTATTACTGCTATCATGAATCTAATTAACAAAGTCTTGATTATCCATTTTTGCATTTAATCATAAACGAACGTTGAACAGCAGATCGGATTCAGATCCAAAGAAAATCAGACACATAAGATGGCATCAAGAGTTATGGTCTTTTCATGTTAATAAATGTCTAATTAATAGTTTATCTTATACAACATTTCAGGCCTAAAAAAAAATAGGCAGATTTAGCTCTTGCATAATATATTGGTATTTTTAAATAAATAAATAAATGCAGCCCTAGTTCCAGGAAGGCTGCCCAGGGGCAATAAGTGTGTGTTTTTGTTTATGGTACTGAGACTGAGAGGTAAATCCCAAACAAGATTGGCTATAGAGCAGGATTATCCCAGTATCCCAGTTCAAGTTTTACACGTCTTGTGAACGAACCCATTCAGGCCCGTAGCTAGCCCGTTGGCTTTGTATTGCGTCCAATGGAAAGGGCACCAAAGGCACCCATTGGGGTAACCGATTCTTTCCACAGTCAATGGGCAAAGGCACCATTGGATGCGCCAAGTTTTTTTTGTTTTTTTCAGGGGAGGAAGCTATCCCCCTTGCCCTTTTCTATGGCCATGCTAGAGAAAGTAATGTTGCACTGTCTACATTAAAACTTCTACTGTCAAGGGTTTTTTTATGTGAACCAATGCAGGCTTTCTGTACCATCCAAACGACTATGCGGATGCCAATTTGTCAATTTACTGTTGGTAGGCCTACTTCTTCTCAGTCCAGGGATCAAACTGTGTCTGTGTACGGAATTCAGCGTAAATTTAGATAGTCAAGACACCCCCCCCCCAAAAAAAAAGAGGTTTTTATTATAAGTGATTACATCTGAATTTGTATTATATACCTGTGGGGCTGTCGTTTTGGCTGCCTTGTTACATGATACATCTTCAGTCTTAGTTTAGTCATTTTTATTAGTGAACGCTCTCGCCCTCGGTGCATTCACACAACAAAGTTTGTGACAAATGACAAAACTAAGCTAAGCCATAGAGGGTGTTACAAGACCAAATTTTAACGTCTATGACACGAAATTATTTGTACCTTTTGCCTTTCGTAATGATGTGTGATAAACTTCTCTAAATTGGATGGAGAATCCCCTTTCTTATCGTCTGCTTCAACTTCCATCTTACCGGAAGCAGCTTTATCTGCCATCTTTAAACAAATTGATAACGAGGCTGTTGTCAAGCTGGGCGATCAAAAGTTACGTTTCGTAAAAATAAACAAACAATGACGTAAATTAACTAAAATTATGTATTTGTTTCCAATAAATAAATTATTAACATTTGTCAATAAAATATAAAAATGTGTATGTCGAAAAATAAACACGATCAAATGAACCAGGGAATAACGGTAGATTGGTTGTCTATGGCAACCAGTGTAAACAGGTGCCCGTTCGTGATTTCCCGTTAACTTTCTAGGTAGACCGTTATAACGCGATTAAAAGATTAAATTGGCTTGATCAGATTATCTTAATTAGTAATCATGCCAGGAAAAGCTCGTGGAAGAAAGGACAGTGACAGTGATGACAGCACGGATAATCAAGAGACGACGGGCACGTTTGAAACATTGCGTGATGAAGGAGAACATTTTGTGCATGTAAAACAGTACAAGAAAGCCATTGATAGTTTTACAAAGGTAGATTATAGGCCTAGATATTTAACTGTCGAGTCTAAATGTTACAGCTATTCATATTGTAGGATAGACTATAATATAATTAAATTAGCAATAAATATAAATTGATAAATAGCCATATAAACAGCCATATGTAATTGGAATAATTTAAGTCAAGGTGGTCTTCCATTCAATTAAATAAATAGCCAAAAATATGGCAAATCTTGCCCAATCAATTTCATGAAATTTGTGTATAACGATTGTTTATTACATGTTTAAAAAGAATTTATAGAAATTTTAACAATAAATGTTGCTGTGAGTATCCTACCATAATTATTGTTTAATGCAGCTATGGCAATGGCCGACATTGAGACAATAATAATTGTTTAGCTACTTCACTCAATAATATAAGCCTTAAGGCCACGAAATGGGCTTATCATGTGAATAATTTAATGTCTAACATCTGAAGCCAGAAAACAGACCTGCAATACACAGATTTAGCTCTTGCATAAATCTTCTTTAAAGATTGTTTTTCCCCTCCACAATTGAAATATATTATAATTGTAAACCAATATTTTTTTCAGGCGTTGGAAATGAAAACTGATGATAGTACCTGCCTTGTTATTAGAGCTAAATGCCATTTAATGTTAGGAAATGCTGAATTGGCTCTCGCTGATGCTAATGCTGCACTGGAGAATGAAGATGGTAGTAAAGATATCCGGGTATTTATTGAGATCTTTATTCATTATCTATATAACCGTGTTGGAGTAGGACGTTAAAGAGAGAGAGAGAAATGGGGTTTAACGTCCACTCGACACAAACTAGGTCATTTTGGGACTAACATATGGTTTAATGTTATTTCAATAATTCGCTTGCGCGTAGGGGTCTTTAGCAGTGAGGGGGGAACCGTAACCATTCAGCCATCCAAACCCCGAGTAGGACATTAAACTCCCTTTTATTCCATTTAAATCACCTAAAGAGACAATCGGTGTATCACAGTAAAATTATTTGAACTAGAGTTAATTTGACCAAATATGCACACCTCCAGGTGTCTTTTTGCATTTAATGACTGTTGTTCAGGCCCGTAACTAGGGGTGGCACGGGGTGGCGGGGGGGGGAAGCCCCCCCCCCCCGAAAAAAAAATTGTCGACCATATAAACAAAAGATATACATTGTCTTTCAATATTACAGCACCCCTGAGAACACTTACACCCTCCTCCCCCCCTCGTTGCTCTGAGCTAGTTAAGGCCCTGCTGTTGTTATCGAGTTTTATCTACTGGACCAGTTTGATTATAATCAATTTTACAAGCTTTCTTGTTAAAGATGGGTGGGTCGCCACGGTGGCTAACTTTGAGGTCCTGCTTTCAATCCCGGTGTTGGCTTAGAAAAAATTCATAGAGATTTTTCGTCATGTTTCCTTCCTAAAGGTGTGTAGGACACAGGGCCTGGCAAGGAACAACATATAGTCGTTCTGATGGGACGAAAAACCCAGACCCCATGTAAACAATGACATCAACGTAAAAGAACCCCTGGCAGTTAGAATTCGATATAAGTGTAGGCCATCGTGCCCCTCTCCGTCTTCAGTAGCCCAGTCGGAGCAGAACAGTAGGACATCAGAAAAATCTTTCTCGTTTTCAGATGGCCGAAACAAATAAAAAAAGAACATGAGCTACAAATATGTAGCTAGGCTATATTAACCAATGTCCTAAAACGAATAAACATCCATTGGAATAATACATATTACAAGTTTAATGTACCTTTTACATATATCATTTTCAGGCCCTTTTAATGAAAGCAGAATCTTTATATCAAATGGGAGATTTTGAAACAGCATTAGTTTATTATCACCGTGGAAACAAAGAGAGACAGGAACTACAAGACTTTCGACTTGGAATCCAGAAATGTCAGGAAGCAATTAATAACAGTATAGGAGGTAAAACTTTAATACCTTATGTAATTTAGGGGGGGGGGGGCGCGAATGGTTTAACACATGTGCAAAGATTACAAGATCTATCATTGAGTAAACTGGTAGGTTTCGATTCCCCGCTTGTACGTGACAAGAGTAGGGTCGCTTGAATTATATGTTAGTCCCAAATTCACCTAGTTTAGGTGAGTGGACTCGAGGGTTGAGAGAACTTGATTCTGGAACGTTCAATCAAACACTTCCATGAGATTGCATGAAAATGTTGGCCGGGGAATAACCTGGAAGAAATATTATCAATATATTATATAATAGGCTTTGTAATATTTGTATCCTACCAAGGACTATCTTTGAGCGATAATGAAAAAAAAATATTGTGATAATAATTTATCCTAGACCAGCTGGTATTTGATAATGCTATTTTTACTGATGAATTTAATTATATCAATAGATGTCATAGGTGATGATATAGCATTATATGTATTATCATCAATATTAGGACATGATAATTATCATATCACGATAATTTTGGTTATCATGATATACCAGTTTTTCAATATTTTTAAATATGTCTGATATTATAAAATCGCAGATGATTTGATCACGATATAACGAAAAACCGGTATATATCGCCCAATCCTATTAAGGACATTGATCATTAGTGGACAACACCTCCACGGGTCAATCATACTCCTTGATGTGATTCATTTGATTTATCCCATATTATACACTGCTGTACCAAGCCTCGTTCTTATATATATCTTGCTCCAGTTATATCCCTTGATCAAAGGACACTTGCAGTTTACTAGCTGGTCATCAAATAGTCCAGCAAGACAGGAAATCCAATAGTTTACTAGCTGGTCATCAAATAGTCCAGCAAGGCAAGAAATCCAAGAATTTATATAGGGTTATATAAATATCTTACTATTTTCGCATGAAACAAAATAATTTGCTGTTGGACTTTTTTTCAGAACCAAATTCCGTTAAATTGGAGACATCTGGAGATCTGTCATTCTTCCACAAACAAGAAGAGGTAAGTACAATATACTGAATATATTTAATGGGAATATAGATTTATTCTTTGTACCTCAAACTGTATTATATCAGACGGGTACATCCTCTAATCTGATCCGGGGCTACAATAGTCAAGCTGTACAGGACTGTCAACTAGAATGTCACAGGTTCTGATCTCGTGTTAAGTTGAGGATCTCAGGATTGTCAAACCCGGTTTCCGTAGTTGACTTAAAGTTCCTACATTGCTGACAAGGAGAAATATGCCTAGTCCTTCAGATCAGACAAAAGAACTTCTGTCAGTCATGAAGTGTAGGCTTAAACTCCATTGTCTTGGCAAAATTCTCATCCCTAACATTGCACACATGACCACATTCTGCACTCCGAGCTAGAACTATTTAGTATACTGTTTTGTAATGTGATCCTACTCAGGTTTACATCTGTTATACACAAAAAGACTAATTAAGCCTTTTCAATTTTATTATAATGAAAGCAGAATATATAAAGCTCAAAATTCTTGAAAATAATATACTTATTGTTTTTGGCTAAAATCGTTGATTTAAGACTTAAAATGTCAGTCAGCTAGCTTAGTGTCTAAGTGGAGCTAATTGTAGACAGACAGTGTTAGTTTAGTATGACATGACTATAGAAGAAAGTAACTGTGTGTTAGTCTCAAAATAACCAAATATTGTGATGACGAGATGTTAAACTGTATTCCTTATTTTCGAAATCTGATACGAAGGGGATTGGGTTTCCTCCGGGTCCTCCGGTTTCCTCCCACTGCTAAAGACCCCTACGCGCAAGTGAATTGATGAAATAAAATTGCACCATGTTAGTCCCTCAATTCTGTCTGTCTCTCACAAGTACCTATGAAGGGATGACAGAACATGAAAGTTGAAAACATAAAAATCATTTATATACACTTTTTTTATGCAACTTTATATAGATGAAATTAAAACTCAAAAAGTTTTACTTCTGCATTGTAGATGCTAATTGTAATTTTAACAATAATGTCTTTTGATCATTTTTATACGCCCACATTTTCATGTGGACGTATTATGCCGTCGCAGCTATCCATCTGTTGGTCTGTGCGTCTGTTCACATTTTGTTTGTGGACACACTACAGGTAACAATTTTTACCCGATTTTGACAAAACTTGAAATATAGGTTTATATCAGTCCGTAACTTCATCAATTATGGCCCCTTATTGTAGCTTGTGGATACTCAAGAAGTTTTAATTTTTATGACACAAAGATTTTGGTTCCTGTCGATATTAGCGCTTATCGGACCGTGACTTCCTGGATTATGGCCCCATGACTGTACAAAAAATCATGTTCTTAGCTTGTTGACACTCTAGAGGTCACAATTTTCACATGATTATAAAAACAATTTAAACATATCACCATAATGACGGTTGAGTTTGTATTTTGTGAAAATCGGACCGAAACTTCAATTCAAAATAGCCAATCCCCTTTACTCAAAAAATGTAAAAGCATGTAATACCTTCTAGTTTTAAATGTCACAATTTTTATCCGATTTTGATGAAACTTAGAATATATGTTTATATCCCAAAGATCTCGGTTTCTTTCTATATTCAAGCATATCAGACCATAACTTCCTGGATTATTGCCACTGATTGTATGAAAAATCACCTTTTTAGTTTGTTCCCTATATCCATCTCTTGTGAAATGTGAGCGTATTTTGCATGGAATCTACTTGTTAAGTAATGAATTATCTTTTCATATTCTGTAGAGTAGTATAGTTGGATTATATAGGGTAGGATTATGATATATTTATATTTTATATCTAACAGGGTTATGATATATTTTATATCTAACAGGGTTATAATATATTTATATCTAACATAGGGTTATGATATATTGTATATCTAACAGGGTTATATTATATTTTATATCGAACAGGGTTATGATATATCTAACAGGGTTATAATATATTTTATATCTAACAGCGTTATAATATCTTTTATATTTAACAGGATTATAATATATTTATATCTAAGGTTTGATCTTGGTGATCTCCCTTTACACCTTTTGTCCTACACCAAGTGACTAATATATAATACATACATATAATACATAATGTGGCATATTGTTAGCTTAAAGATGCATTATATGTAAGATTTCTTTCTATATTAGTTTAAAAATAGATAATTAAAAATGAATATATTGAAAATTTCATTCAAATTACTTTATCTCAGCTAAGTTATGGAGACACAGCACAGATCATTCATTACCTTAGCCTCGATTGTCCAGTTTATTGTTAAATTTTAAGTCTCATGGATGTTTTAATCCATTTAAATTGCGACCATCCTATGATTTAGAGAGTTGATTATAGGCTTGTTATGTTAATAAATTTCCAAATAATAATTTATATAACATTTGAAGCCAAGAGAAAGACCTGCAATAGGCAGATTTAGCTCTAAAGCAGTGGACACATTAGCCGAATCAATCAGCAGCGAATTGCAGCCAAATTCATTAGGCCGAAGGAGTGGACACACTAGGCTAATCCTTCACAAGTCAATTGCATCGCCTTTCACGTCACATGATTAAACATGGCAGCAACCATATCTTCAAACAATCACATGACTTCTTGATATGAGTGGTGATGGCTAACGAATTGTACACTAGGTGAATATAATTCAGCGGAAAGAAAATTCGGCCAATATATCAAACATGTTTGACTCGGGCGAATCATTCGGTCGAATGACAATGGACACACTAGGCCAATTTTGACGTCAATTCATTCGGCCGAACAATTCAGCTAGTTTCACCGCTTTATATAATGCATCTTTAAGTGGACTAATGTATCTTTATTAACTATTAACTCATTAATATATTATAGTTATCAAGCGTTTGTTTAGGTTGTGATATAATAAACATATAGATTATATACTAATTTAGTGCTCACTAACCTATAAGTTTGTGTCTTTCACTAACAGGAGGCAAAGTTAAAGGTAAATCATATGGAAAGAGTATTTATTTATTTATTTTTTAAATTTTCCATATTTTGATATCAGCCCAGAACCTTTCCTATTTATAGCTTTATATTATTATGCGGGTTATAAAGATATATTATTAGTGTATATCAATTATTTTATAGATATCAAACATATAGCTGTATCCATTTCTTTATAAAATTTTCCATATTTTAAAATCAGACCCAGAACTTTACCTATTTATAGGCTTATAGCTTTATATTTATTATACCGGTTTTAAAGATATTAGTTTATATCAATTATTTTATAGATATCAAACATATAGCTGTATCCATGTCTTTATAAAATTTTCCATATTTTAAAATCAGACCCAGAACTTTACCTATTTATAGGCTTATAGCTTTATATTTATTATACCGGTTATACAAAGATACATAGTTTATATTCATTACTTTGTAGATAGCTATATCCATTTCTTAATTTACATCCAGGGTCCTTATTCATGAAAAATTTAATCAAAAAAATAAAGGATGTAGCATTATATTCATTAGGTAAGGGCAGGTATCTTATAGGCTTGATTTTAGTCAGCTACAACTGCTTGATGTGTGAAAAAAAATGATTGATATATGGATATAGTATTATAAATCAATCTACTTTCTGCTCAATAATTACAAAAAGCCAATAAACTTTGTAAACTACAATCTTTAAACAGTCATACCCTAGTGAGAATAATTCACATGGTTCAGGATCAAAGTAATATTCAAAAATATTATTGATACAAACAATGAAAAGGCTGCATTCTGGAAATATTTCGCCTGTCCAATCTTGTGGGTTTTCTCCGGGTTCTCTGATTTACTCCCACTTCTAAATACCCCATACACGGAAGCGAATTATTGAAATAAAATGTAACCATATGTTAGTCCTTCTCTCTCTCTTGAAATATTTCATGAATAAAGTCCTAGCTTCATTTCCTGTTTCTTTAGAATTATGACATGCTTTTTTAGGCGCTTTTCTTTCCAGGAATAAGATATGCATCTTACAATTAATTAAAATTAATCTGTAATATTTTTACCCCATAGTTAGACATAATCTTTGTTTTTATTTAATATTTTATGATATAAAATGACAATCACCGATATAAAGCTTCTTCCAGTAGTTTATGATGTTGAGATATGTTGATTAAATCTTTTAGTATTATTGTCTAGTTTCTGACCGTGGTTCCCAACCTAGGAACAGTTTACAAAACTCTGAGACTCCCCCCGAGACAACATGTGCATGAGCTTTAGGCCATAAGGTCTGTCTTTGAGTCAAGTGAAGTGATTTTAATCCCACACTTGTATAGGGTTGCCTGCCTAAGCTTGTTGGTGTTTTCTGTATCCTCCAGTTTCAACCCACTGCAAGCGAATTATTGAAATAGAATTATACCATATGTTAGTCTCAAAATGACCTAGTTTGTATTGAGCGAACATTAAAGCCTTCTTTCCAACCTCGTGGGTTTTCTTCGGGTCCTCTGGTTTCCTCCCACTGCTAAAGACCCCTATGTGCAAACGAATTATTGAAATAAAATTAAGCCTTATGTTAGTCCCGAAATGACCTGGTTTGTGTCGAGTGGAGGTTAAACCCCATATCTCTCTGTCACATTAAACCCCATTTATCTTTCTCTCTCCCCCTTTCGGATCAGATTTCCCATACGAGGGACATTAGGACATGAATGTTTGATAAACCCTAACATGAACCAACTTAATAGCCGTTCAGATCAAATAAACCCTATCATGGGTCAGCTATATAACTCTTCTGATAAAAAACATAGGTCTTCAACCCATATCAATGTGACTCTGAAATCAAATTCATTGTCTCAATACCAACAATTTCACACTAACTTTACTTGACTGGTTTCTTTTCCACAGGCCCCCCTTTTCCCCTACGGATTCTGCAAAGCCCCTACCACTTTTCACAGACCCCCGTAAAAAATCTGTTTACCTCAGGTTGGGATACACTGGTCTATAGTAAGAAATTATTAGAATAACGCTAGTCTTATAAAAATACAGATTCAGATGCACAAGTCAATAGCAATCAGTTTTTAGTCTAATGCTAGAAATTGCTTATATAGCTTTTCAGTCTGATAAAAATACAGATTTAGATTTTGTTTTGTTTCGATTTCCTCCTGCATATTCATCTGACCGGTGTGCATGGGAGGTCACATCAGGGACTATATAGGTGAACTTTGACTTTTGAAAACTAGTTATATTTAACTGTTGTTTTGCATTGTTTTTGACTGATGTGATTCCTGGTAAGTCAAAACTAAACAGACTATTTCAAATAGAACTTTGAAACTCTTAGAAATCCCACTACTCTGAGGACAAATAAAACGAAATTTGTAATATGAAAAAAAAACAAACAAATAAAATGAAATAGAATCAAATCTGTATTACAATCAGCACGATAATATATCTGCAACTTTTAAAACTAGCAGAAGGCTTAATTCTGTAAACTTTCTTTGCACATGTAACTTAGGTTAACTATATATAATATCATGTGACAAGTAATTCTAAATTATAAAATGCTGAGGAGGGCAATTTTTCCTAATTTAAAAAGAAGTCTTTGACTCTTGAGTCAGTAGAAATGGTGCTACCTTGGGAAAAATGCCAAATTTGAATGTTACATCTCACAGTGACCTCTGTTAACTCTTTAGCTCTTGGTACATCTCATTATTGACTTCTCAGTTCCTTAAAGAAAATTAGAGAAAAATTGATACTGGTACATCCCTGGACAGATCGAAACAGTTGAAAACTACCATTCCTTAGACCGTGTTTCCTTCCCCGTCTTCATTAACCCAGTCGGAGCAGAACAGTGGGATGTTTAACTCCATTTCATTTCCTTAGACCGTCTGAAACCTCCCGAGATATGTGAACAGATTTCCATATCATGGAAACATTTTCTAGTTTGTGAGGGCCCGACAGCTGTCAACATGGCGGGGGCAGTCTAAGAAGCTGTTATAGTTGAGGTAGTTTGCGGCAGTCTAGGGTTAAAACGTTAAACTCCTTTTCATTCACTCAGTTTAAGGTTTTTCATAATAGATTTTATGATATGTAATATGTTTAATAGGAAAAGCAGAAACAGCAGGCAAAAACAGGTTATAAAAAACCTCCCGGCAACCAACAAAAAGAAGAAAAGAAAGAAAGAAGTCGACCTCAAACCGCCTCGAACCCTAAAACCACCAAACAACTACTCGGACAATTATTTCAAGATAAGACATTTCTTGAAGGATTATTTGATGGTATGTGGATTCTAGTGACTCTGTAACCCTAATCTTAGCCTTGACCTCTGTGGTCAATGAAATGAAATGAAATGAAATGGAGTTTTAACGTCCTACTGTTCTGCTCCTAACCTGGGTTAATGAAGACGGGCATACGCCATACAGCGTGCTATGAGAGAAATTTTGCCCGGGCAGCGGCACTACGGTCTACTCTAATATCAAATTCCAACTGCCAAGGGATCTTTTACGGGCATGCCAATGTGTACACGGGCCTCGGTGGTCAAAACATTCTATCCAACACATTCTCTTCCAGGGAGGGTGGGTGGCCAAATGGTGTAACGTGTGCACATTAGATCAAATAAGGTCTGTCACTGGTTCTAGTGGCATGGTTTTGATTCCCTGCTTGTACGTGACAAGGAGTAGGGCCGTCTGTCTGACCTTGTGGGTTTTCTCCAGGTTCTAAGGTTTCATCCCACTGCTAAAGACTTCTTATTAAAAATAAATTGAACCGTATGTTAGTCCCGAAATGAACTAGTTTGTTTCGAGTGGACTTTAAACCCTGTAGTTTCAATTATCAAATATGCTTCCCTCATAAATATTATTGACAATCATAAATTATTAAGATCAGAAGGAAAACTATTAATGGATGTACCTGCCTATAATTTGAAATCATTCGGATCCAGAATTTTTCTACACAGTGCATAAATTGTTTGGAATACACTTCATGAAAATATCTGACAAAATGAATCTGTGTCAGTTTTTAAATCCAAAGTGAAAACTTGGCTATTTAGTCACTATCATTAACACTCCAAAGTGTGAATATTTTCTAGCGCCTAGTGCATTCCCTAGTGGATTGAATAGTTGCGCGATACAATGGATAATCAGAGCAATGTGCCGTCTTTATTAGCCCAACAGTAGGACGTTAAACCCCATTTCATTTCATTTCATTTCATAGCAATGTTAGGAATTAAATGTAGTGCCTTAAAACGTAATGTTTAGAAGAAGTGATCTATCCCCATGATTCTTTGAGAAAATAAAAACTCAAGAACCAAAATATCAATAAAAGGCTGTATTTATTTTTTCAGAAATGACAAATAATAATACAGAAACTGGTGAATTTGTTAAGGGTCGTGCTTGTGATGGTCTGGAATACCTTCATGCCAGGTCAGATTTCTGGCGTCAACAAAAACCCATGTATGCCCGTAAACGTGATAAATCTCGTCAGGATGAACAGCTGAATCGTCATAAGCAAAAAGATACATCCAAACCTGAAAGTCCAGTGCAATATATTTTGAAAATGTTAGAACAGATAGACGAAGGTTTGTATAAATGTTGATCTTAGGGGTACATCATCTATCATCTATATCATCCATCATCTATATTTGAGGGTACATCATCTATATGATGGTACATCATCTATATGGTCCATCAACTATATGATGGTCCATAAACTATATGATGGTCCATAAACTATATGGTACATCATCTATATGGTACATCATCTATATGGTACATCATCTATATGATGGTACATCATCTATATGGTACATCATTTATATATATGGTACATCATCTATATATATGGTACATCATCTATATATATGGTCCATCATCTATATGGTACATCGTCTATATGATACATCATCTATATGGTACATTATCTATATGGTACATCATCTATATGATGGTACATCATCTATATGGTACATCAACTATAGGGTACATCATCTATATGAGGGTACATCATCTATATGATGGTACATCATCTATATGGTACATCAACTATAGGGTACATCATCTATATGATGGTACATCATCTATATGAGGGTACATCATCTATATGAGGGTACATCATCTATATGGTACATCATCTATATGGTACATCAACTATATGATGGTTCATCATGTGTTTGGTACATCTGTATGAGGGTACATCATCTATATGATGGTACATCATCTATATGGTCCATCATGTGTATGGTCTATCAACTGTATTGTATATCATCTATATGATGGTTCATCATGTGTTGGGTACATCATCTATATGGTCCATCATCTATATGGTACATCGTCTATATGATACATCATCTATATGGTCCATCGTCTATATGATACATCATCTATATGGTCCATCGTCTATATGGTACATCATCTATATGGTACATCATCTATATGGTACATCGTCTATATGATACATCATCTATATGGTCCATCGTCTATATGGTACATCATCTATATGGTACATCATCTATATGGTCCATCGTCTATATGATACATCATCTATATGGTACATCATCTATATGGTCCATCAACTATATGTGGTCACTAGTTCTGGAGCCACGCTTATTCACTGGAGTAAGACATTAGTTCAGGGAGAGGGGTATAATATAGGCTATGCCTGTTCCCCAATCCCTATTCAGATACAAATATGAATAAAATATTGCTTATAAAAAAAAAATTGGTTCAGTAACCAGGAGACTCAGATCCTGGTGTTGGCTGCTCTAGCCTGCTTTCCCCTCATTTCTGGTGCAGAGTAGATGGCCGGGCAAGAGGGAAAATGTGTCTTATGTTTAAGGTGTGACAAAAAACTGAGGTTGAAGTCGGTTGAACGTCTATGAAGCAGGCAGACAAAACCACTTTCAAGCAAAGTTTCCCTCTCAACACGGGGGGCTTGGATTGCCGAATGGTTAGCACACGCGTGCTGTATCATACGGTCTGTCATTGAGTCAAGTAGCAGGGTTTCAATTCCCTGGTTGTACGTGACAAGGAGTAGAGTCACCTGTCCAACCTCGTGGGTTTTCTCTGGGTCCTCCGGTTTCCTCCCACTGCTAAAGACACCTACGCGCAAGCAAATTATTGAAATAAAATTGAACCATGTGTTAGTCCCAAAATGACCTGGTTTGTGTCGAGTGGACGTTAAACCCCATCTCTCTCTCTCTCTCTCTCCCTCTCAACACACTGCAGTTTATATATTATGACATATATATTGATCCTCTTCATTAGCCTGGTTGGTTCGGAAAAATTTTACTATTTCATTTTTGTTTTTATAGCAATAGCAAAAGAAAAGTATGAAGAGAGTTTACAAAAATGTCGAAAAACAATGAAAAAAATTGACAGTTGGTCAGATGATGAAGTCCGTAACAAACCAGAATATTTAGCGAACATTCACAGCTGTATGGGAAATGCCCATTTAGAAATGAACAAATTAGATGCAGCATTAGAAAACCACAAAACAGATTTAGAATTAGCAAATGAACAGTAAGTAGCTTCTACATGTATCGGTTGTACACGGTTCAATTTTATTTCAATTATTCGCTTGCGCGTAGGGATCTTTAGCAAAGGGAGGAAACCGGAGGATCCAAGGAAAACCCACGAGGTTGGACAGGCAACCCTACTCTTTGTCACGTACAACCAGGGATTCGAAACCACGCACATGTGCACTGTATCATAAGGTCTGTCATTAAGTCAACTGGCGTGGTTTCAAATCCCCGGTTGTATGTGACAAGGAGTAGGGTCGCCTGTCCAAGCTCTTGGGTTTTCTCCGGGTCCTCCGGTTTCCTCCCACTGCTAAACCCCCTACGTGCAAGCGAATTATTGAAATAAAATTAAACCATATGTTAGTCCCGAAATGACCTTGTTTGTGTCGAGTGGACGTTAAACCCTCTCTCTCTCTCTCCCTCTCTCTTTTCTATGGTAATTTGAAGTATTTTTTCATTTTGTTTTCTTTCAGTGACCTCGAAGATGCACAATCCAGAGCATTAGATAATATTGGTCGAGTTTATGCCAGAAAGGGAGATTACGAAAAAGCTATAGAAATGTAAGATGTTATTGAACAATTTATAAGGTTTTAGTGTCATAATGTTTATTGCTAGACCTTGATCAAACTGATAAAATGATTAGGCCTGGCAGTCATGAATTTAGTTGAGTGTGACAAAATGGGATGCATTAATCAATTTGATATTATAATGAAACGAAGTGTAAAAAACAAACATGTGCCAGAAAGTTATGTCAGGCTACTCCTGTCGGAATCGAACGTCTGACCATAGGTATGGAATCCATACAACTCTACCGAGCGACCCCAGGCATGGAATAATACACCTTCGTTGAGTGAGCCGAAGGGAATCCCCACAAAAAAACCAAGTCAGTAGCAAGTATGTTTAAACTTGAGATACCACACGACAGAACAATCTTAGGTGTCCCCAGATCTATGAGCAATCACACAGGACAGAACAAGGGGGTGTCCCCAGATATACCAGCAGTCATACAACATACAGGACAGAACCATTAAGGTGTCCCCAGATATACGAACAATTACACAGCGCTACTTATAATTAAATCGCTGCTACACGGGACAATATGATTGGCTGCAGTGGGATTGTGCGTGGCACTGTCTTTGACAGGTGCCTTATTCTTGGGAATGATCATGGTCATGAACTTGAGAATGATCATGGTCATGAACTTGGGAATGTCATGAACTTGAGAATGATCATGGTCATGAACTTGAGAATGATCAAGGTTATAAACTTTGGGAATGATCAAGGTTATGAACTTGGGTATTGTCAAGGTTTATGAACTGGTACACATGCCTGTGACCAGTGCCTTATTTCCAGTCTTGGAAATGATCAAGGTTATGAACTTGGGAATGATCAAGGTTATGAACTTGGGAATGATCAAGGTTATGAACTTGGGAATGATCAAGGTCATGAACTTGGGAATGATCAAGGTTATGAACTTGCAAATGATCAAGGTTATGAACTTCTTTCATTTATTTTCAGCTGGGAACAGAAGATACCTTTAAGTAAAACATCGTTAGAAAGCACATGGGTCAACCATGAGATGGGTCGTTGCTACTTTGAATTAAAAAAGTACGAAAATGCATGTGACTATGGGGAGAAATCACTGAGCGCAGCCAAGGAAGCAGAAGATGAAGGATGGCAGCTACATGCATGTGTTCTTATTGCTCAGTCACAAGGTAAGCTGCTTGTGCTTTAGATCACAAGGTCTGTCGTGGTTTTGATCCCAAGCTTGTATGTGACAAGGAGTACTGTAGTTGCCTTCCCAATTCAAGTGGATTCTTCTGGTCCTTCTGCTACCTTCCACTGCTGAGGACCCTTACATGCAAGCGAATTATTGAAATATGATTGTATCATATTTTAGTCCCGAAATAAACTAATTTGTGTCAAATGACCATTAGACCCTATCTCTTTATATTTCGACCCAATCATTATTAACAAAAATTAACTCGTGGAATGGGATTTAAAAAAAGAAAATGATACAAATATATAAATGTTGGACAAATATATACAGAATTATGCCACAAAAATAATAATTTAATACAATTAATACCCCTACATCATATTAAAAATGTTAAATTGTTGCACACTGCAATAAAATTGCCTTCTGATTTCACAATTTGGTTCAATACTACAACAGTGTTGATGGAACAAAAAAACAAGGTCCTGTGTACACATTGGTGTGTACATAAATAAACCGTTCACAGTTAGAATTTGATACAAGAGTAGGCCGTAGTGCTGCTGTCCAGGCACAATTTCTCTCATAGCACACTGAATGGCGTATGCCCGTCTTCATTAGCCCAGTTGGAGCAGAACAGTAGGACGTTAAACCCCATTTCTTTTCATTTCATTTCAATGATACAGACATTAAAGATACATTATGGGAGATTAGATAAAGAACTGGTAGTTCTTACTATAATAGGTAAAAACTAGATAATGTAAAGGCAATTTGCTGAAAATTTCAGTCAGATTGATCCACCCTGAACCGAGTATTTAGCGATTGAGTTTTCGACCTAGCCTCGATCATCATTACTAAAGTCGGTACGATAAAAAACATAGTCTCGATTATCCATTTTTTGATTTAATCAGAAGCTGTAGACCTGGTTCTAATCCAGTAAATATCGCAGGCTAGCGATGGCATCGAGAGTTGAATCGAGAGTTGATTATGGTCTGGATAAGTTAATTAATGTCTAATTAATAATTTAGATAACATTTCAGGCCTAAAGAAAGACCTGCAATTGGCAGATTTAGCTCTTGCATATGATTAAACTTTTATACATCATTTTTTTTTTTTGCAGTAAAATGTGGAGATTTACAGTCGGGTGTTGATTCGTTTGAGCGGGCATTAGACATGGCAAAATCACAAAAAGATAGATCCGCAGAAAAAGCCATTAAAAAAGCTTTAGAAGATGTCAACGACCAGATTGTTAAAGGTGTTGAGTATTCTGGGTCGCGGAGGGGAAGTCGGGATAGTAGTGACCGAGATCATTCACGCAGCAGAGATCGTTCACGCAGCCAAGATCGTTCACGCAGTAAAAATCGTTCACGCAGCAGCAGCAGAAACCGTTCGCGCAGCAGAAATCGTTCACGCAGCAGAGATCATTCACACAGCAGAGATCGTTCACGCAGCAGAGATTGTTCACGCAGCAGAGATAATTCTCGCAGTAGAGATAATTCTCGAGACAGGAAGAAGAAGAAGGGCAGACGATCATCTACATCATCGTCGTCCTCGTCTTCATCTAAAAAACATTCAGGTGAGAAGAAAAAGATTATAAACGAGACCATAAAAAAGATTATAAACTAGGCCTTAAAAAAAGATTATAAACTAGGCCACAAAAAAAAGATTATAAACTAGGCCAAAAGAAAAAGATTATAAACTAGGCCAAAAAGAAAAAGATTATAAACTAGGCCAAAAAAAAGAGATTCTAAACTAGGCCATAAAAAAAAATTCTAAACTAGGCCACAAGAAAAAGATTATAAACTAGGCCATAAAAAAAAATTATAAACTAGGCCAAAAAAAAAAGATTATAAACTAGGCCAAAAGAAAAAGATTATAAACTAGGCCAAAAAGAAAAAGATTATAAACTAGGCCAAAAAAAAGAGATTCTAAACTAGGCCATAAAAAAAAATTCTAAACTAGGCCACAAGAAAAAGATTATAAACTAGGCCATAAAAAAAAATTATAAACTAGGCCATAAGGAAAAAAATTATAAACTAGGCCATTAGAAAAAAATTATAAACTAGGCCATAAAAAAGATTATAAACTAGGCCATAAAAAAAATTATAAACTAGGCCATAAAAAAGATTATAAACTAGGCCATAAAAAAAAGATTATAAACTAGGCCAAAAAAAAAGATTAAAAACTAGGCCATAAAAAAATATTTTGGTTCTCAGATAATCCAGCCACACAACCTGTTTTTAATGTGGACATATAATGTCCTCGCCCTTGTCCCGCCATCTGTGGGTCTGTTTTGTTTTGTTTTTGGACACTCTACAGGTCACAATTTTTATGTGATTTTGATAAAACTTGAAATATAGGTTTATATCACAAAGGTCTTGGATCATTTCGATATTGGCTTGTATTGGACCATAACTTCATGGACTATGGCCCCTGATTGTACAAAACCTCATGTTTTTAGCTTGTGGACACTCTAGACAATTTTTGTCCAAGTTTGACAAAACTTAAAATGCATATTTATAACTCAAAGATTAGCAATTGGTTCCGTTTTATATTGGTGCATATCGGACCCTGACTTCCTGGTTTATGGTCCCTGATTCAGTGATTGTACGAAAAATCCTATTTTTAGTTGTGGACTCGAGAGGTCACAATTTTTATCTGATTTTGACCAAATTTAACTAAAAGATCTCGGTCTTTTCGCTATAGGACAATAACTTCCTGGATTATGGACCCTGATTGTACAAAAAATCGTGTTTTAGCTTGTGGTCTCTCTCGCTGTTTGAAAAACAGATACTTGCTCTTTTAGAACATCTGATGTCACTTCTCTGTTCTGTTGCACTTTTCTATTTAACAGAAACAAAATTAGTATACTAACTTTTTACACTTTAGATAAAAATACAAAACAGGATGTCAAACAGACTGACACTGAGACTAAAAGCCCTGAAAAAAATGATCCGAAAACTCTGGAACAAAATGGTCCGAAAACTCCTGAACAAAATGATCCGAAAACTCCGGAACAAAATGACCCTATAATTAACAATAATGAGGGGAGTTCGGAGTCAGGTCAAAAACCTGTAGACGATGAACCACAATCAACAGAAACTAAACATGAGGAGAATGAACAAGAAGACAACTAAAATAAAGGTTTTTGGAGTGAAGCCTGAATCCTAACCCTATTTGTCCCATATATAATCTTTACCCTTAATACTAACCACCCTTCTTAGCTTTTATGAATAAAATATCCCCATATAATTTCCCGTTTGTTAATCACATATAATTCTCCATTCTATGATACCATGTAATTTCCCATTTTATGATTCCATAAAATTCCTCATTTTATAATTCCATATATTCCCATAGTTTATAATCCCTTATTCAGACGTAAGCCATATAATCCCCTATTGAGATATATATATATATATATAATCTCCCGCATTATAAACCATATAATTCCCTTCTTTTAAATTTTCCCTTTTGAGAGATACCCCCCCGCCCCCTCCAACTTCTCTATTTTGTATCTGTTAAAACACAGATCCCATTTTTCTTCGTTTTTATAGTTCAAAATTTCGTTTTACTTGTCTTTACTACACTAGGATCTGGAAGAGTTGTTATTTAACTCGTGTTATGAATGGTGTCAGGGATAAGCCAATGAAACGGTCTGTTACGGCGAGCTTTAGGCGTGTTTTGCACGGAAGTGTGGGTAATCCACTAGTAACATCAATGCTGATTGGTTAATCATATGTCTGACAACATAAGGTCAAAAGTCGGTCTTTTGACCCCTCACGTGACCTTTCGCTATAACTTGTCAGATCGTCTTGTAGTGTAGGCCATCGAAAGTATAAAAAACGAAACGAAATATAGATCTGTATTTTAATCAGATTGCCTAATGAGATATAAATCATATAACCCCCTACTTTATAGTCCCCTTTTCAGATATAAACTATATAACCCCCTACTGATATATAAACCAATTCCCTTTTAAGATATACACCATAAAATTCCCCTATTTTATAATCTCCCGTTGAGATATAAACCATACAATCCTATTTTATAATCCCCTGTTGAGTTATAAACCATATAGTCCCTACTTGATGATCCCATATAATTCCCTTTTGAGATAAACCATATTTTTCCCTAATTGAGATATAAGCCATAAATTAACGACAATTTAATTTTTGACCCAGATCTAAGAGGTTTTGAAAACAGATTCCCATGTGTGATTTCATTCTTCCAGCTAAAAGATGATAACAATATAATTTGTTTAAACTGTGCTTGGTTTTGATTTGATCTTTAATAACAGTGTTTTTAACTTTAATAACAGTGTTTTTAACTTTAATAACAGTGTTTTTAACTTTAATAACAGTGTTTTGTGTGTATTTACATGTGTTGACTTTATTCTGTGGGGGTTGGATGGCCGAATGGTTAGCAAGTTCGCGCTGTATCATAAGGCCTGTCATTCAGTCAACTGGCGTGGTTTTGAATCCCCCTGTTGTATGTGACAAGGAGTAGGGTCGCCTGTCCAGCCTCATGGGTTTTCTCCGGATCCTCTGGTTTCCTCCCACTGCTAAAGACCCCTACGTGCAAGCGCATTATTGAAATAAAAAAATTAAACCATGTGTTAGTCCCGAAATGACCTAGTTTGTGTCGAGTGGACAGTTTCCCCAAAAACTTAGCAATAGTTAATGTATAGACTCATCACATCACATGTAAGAATTACTTTAATGTATAAATTCATCACATCACCCGTAAGAATTCCTTTAATGTATAAATTCATCACATCACCCGTAAGAATTCCTTTAATGTATGCATTCATCATATCATATGTAAGAATTCCAGCAATGTATCAATTCATCACATCACATGTAAGAATTCCAGCAATGTATCAATTCATCACATCACATGTAAGAATTGCTTTAATGTATAAATTCATCACATCACCCGTGAGAATTCCTTTAATGTATAAATTCATCACATCACCCATAAGAATTCCTTTAATGTATGCATTCATCACATCATATGTAAGAATTCCAGCAATGTATCAATTCATCACATCACATGTAAGAATTCCAGCAATGTATCAATTCATCACATCACATGTAAGAATTGCTTTAATGTATAAATTCATCACATGTAAGAATTGCTTGAATGTATAAATATATTTTTTTGATTTTTGTTTTTCAGACCGAGAAGAAGAAAAAAATAAGAAAAATGTTAAAAAAGATGAGAAAAATAAAAAGCAAGACAATAAAGTGAAAATTGAAAAGAAAAAAGTGAAGCCAGCTTTTAGATAAAATCCCTGTAAAGACTCAATTAATTGCTGACTTTTAATTTAATTAAAACAGGCTCCAAATTTTATTCAAACAGAAACAAAGAATATCTTATTGGGCTTAAAATTCCAATAAGGACCCTAAATACAATTTTCTATCATTTCATGGTTTTATGTAATAGTTTTATTTTTATAAAGCAAGCTTAAAGAAGACTACTTAATATGTAATGATGCATTATGTAAGAACTAAATCTGCCCATTACAGGTCTTTTCTTTTGCCTCAAATGTTACATAATTTATTATTTAAATATTAATTCACACAACAAGCCCATAACCAACTCTTTAGTCCATTGGATGGCAGGGATTTTTAATGGATTGAAACACGATTGCCATTTAATAATTTAATTCAAAAATGGATAATTGAGCTGCAATTGAGCCTCTGTTTATTATCATAACAATGGTAGCAAAGAAAATAA